ATCATTATTTCTGCGCCATCTGTTATCGTCTGCATTTAGAGCTGGAAATTCTGAGCAGTTTATTCAGTTCTGCATCAGAACTGAATTTTTTGAAAACAAAAATTTCTGAAATTTTACAAATAATTCAGATTTTTTAGCTCTAAATCAATTATTAGAAGAAAAAGCTTTGTGTAAATAAGAAAGATGTCTAAACTGTGAGAAAAATTTAGAATAATACAAAAAAAATTCGATAACAACTTTGACTCGTATAAATCTATCTTAGAACAGTATTATCTTGAGTAGAAAGATATTACTGTTACAATCGAGCACATTCCCTAAGTTTCAACATCGTGTGATTACTTGAGTCAGCCGTCACTAATAAGAATATTCAACTCTGAATCAGTAAGCAAAGGAGAAGAAAAAAACAATTTTAGGAAAATCATTTTCCGTTTTAATGGATAATAAAAATGTATAGCTAATTCAACTTTTCAGACCGAACTTATCTAGCGCCGAGGATATTTTAAGTGGTTATGTTCGATAATCATATGGTAGAGATAAAGCAGACAGCTAAAACAAAAGATCTAATATAAAACAAAAAAAATAACTGCTGAATACTGCCTTCTTCTTAAAAGTGTAAGTTGATCTTCGTGCAGATGTTGTCTATGAGATTGATAGAAGATGCATGTTAACTTTATTCACAATGGAGTTAAATTGTGTCTGGTTTTTGTTTGTAAACACACGATCTTTATATTTATTTCTTCTTGACTTGCACCTATCCGTTTTTTCAAACATGATTAAATGTGTAATTTGATCAGTAGATTTCGAGTAGATTTTTTAGTATTTGTAAAAATAGAAATTATTATTTAAATAGAATTGCTCTGAAAACTGATAATCTCATTCATCAGACACTGCATGAAATGTAAATCCTTTCCTATAGACAACTATAGCCTCTAAAGTTGGAAGAAAGAAAAGAATATATGAATTTTATCATGTTCTCTATATTCTTCCTTGTTCAGTGTTCTCTCACTTCAAAATGGTTTCCGTAGTTTTTTTCTTCTTCGTTTTTTACAGTAAATCTAATTATTTCCAATTAGAATTACAGAATTCTAATGATAATAAGAAAAATAAATAATTATGCTAAAAGTAAGGAGGACTATCGAACACAAAAGATTATGATTTGACTTGATTTTAGACTTGATAGAATAAACAATAGCAGTTTTTGAGAGGATAATAAACATTTTTCTCCCATAAAAAAAAAATGCCAATTAAATTGGTTATTGAAGAGATATTTAACTGACATGTATAATAAGTATGAACATAAAACTATAATTCTTTTACATAAAACTGGTAAGAATTTTATGATAACAACGAGATTTCGTGTATGTATTTTTCTATTAGTTTTGACGATTAACCATGTCAGCTCAATATAATTTTATGTAATTAGCTAAGGAGAGAAATATTCTTTTTCTTGTTGACCGGTTCACTTAAAACTGATTTGACATGGCTTTTTATCGTTTAACAGATTCAATTTTTTATTAGTTCCTCTCTCTTTTCCTTTATATATTGACTTGTATCGTAAACTTGTAAATGTGCATGAATATCGATAACCCATTAAAAATAGAAAACATGTAAGGAATAAATCAGCTCAATATTTCCGATAGATTTGGACTTATTATCGTGTATTTCAAATGTTGTTTGTCTGGTTTTATTAAAGAAACTTTTATGTATAATCTATGCACTTGTTAGCGTTGTACAAATAGGATTCCATGTTTATTATAGATTTAAGGTGCCGGAAATTCAAAGTTCAAGCAAGATATTTTTTTAATATTATTATTATTATTGGTGTAATTTTGAAATATAGATTATTTGATACAGTTTTTTGACGCTGATTCTAAATATAATATTTTTAATGGAAAAAAGTTGAATTCTGATGGAGACAATTGAGAATTATAGGCAAAATTTCGAGTTTTTCGCTTCTGATCTAAGAAAAATGAATTTTCTCAGTAACAAAACAAAATAGAGAAAAAAGAGATCCGTACTTCTAAAACTCGTTTAATGGCGGTTAAAGTAAAAATTTCGACTTTTATCTCTTCACAAAATGAACTGGAAAAGTTTACAAAATTGTTTACAAACTTTTTGTAGGGCGAGTTCAAGACGTCCATACTGGATAGATCTTTGACTTCAATCTCGATCAAACATCAGATTCATACTCAGTTTGTAATGCTCAATTTGAAAAAATACTTTTAAAATGTTTGAACCAAAGAGAGAAAAAAATTCAATTTTTTTAAAATCAAAGAGTTTTTAGAAATTTTAGACTCTTCGATCGCTTCTTTAAAAAAAAATTAAAAACCACTTTTTCTTAATCAACTTGATGTACTCTATTCAACCATGTGTACATAAATGGAAAAAAGAATTTGCTCTAATTTTGAATTTCCGGCATTTTATATACAAATAGATTAAAAACAATATTTCAAGAAGTAAAACGGCTGGCATCGATAAATCATCAAAATTACAGTTAGACTCTTATTTTTATATTAAGACACGCAACTGTTTGAATCATTATTTAATATTTGTGATGAATGAGAATGTACAACTTAAGCATTTTTTCTTATAGTTTGTAATGAGTTTGAATAGAATCAAAACATTAAGTTATAGATATTGTAACTACTGTATAGAAAATACATCATTTTGTTTTCGTTTTGTGAAGCTTCCTTCCTCTTTCTGATGCGTATACAAAAATCAACATTTTCCGTGAAAAAAAAAGATAAATCGATATATATATATATGTAGAGTTATTTTTCTTTCTATGAGTACCATCGACCAATGCTTATACAAATTGACAAAAATACTATTTTTCAATTTTTGTAAGTCGACTCATTTTAAAGTTTTAAAAGCCATATATTATGATATCCCTAATAGTTCATAAAAGTGTTCCATTAGTGTATTGCGCTTTAATTAAGATAAAAAAGAATACTGTAATGGATTTATTTTTACTTTCATTCTAAAATAATAAAGTTTTTATCAAATATTTGATCATTATAGTATAAGTTATACTAGTTGATTTAAACATCAATATTGAAGATTGTGTTTATTAAAATCCAGGTATTGTCTATATGATTAGTATTAATTTCTTATTTAATTGTATTTGAAATTCTATAAAATACCCTATCGTAATAAATATTTAATTTTACATCCTCTAAACTATTGCTAATCATCATCTCTATTTTCAATTTGTGTATGAATACTAATAACATCTTAGACTTCAATTTTAAATTGATTTCTAATTTCAACTATCTTTTATCTTGTCTTGCAAAATAACTATTTTCTGATTTCTTACTATCATACGTCTAATATATTAGTTAGTCCGGAAATAAGGGTTTATTTGTATTTTTTCTCATCTAAAACATGATTAAAATCAGTAACGATCAAGAACTAAATTATTTCGGATTATATTTGTTTAGTATAAATGGAAAGTACACATGACTTTAAGCTCACAATTATAAAAAATAAATACCATTAAAAATATGTAGATGGATATTGACGTTTTATGGCTATTAGAATAAAAATGACATTAATGTTTGCATTTAATCTTTTCCATTTTTGTTGAATTGTTAAGAATCACAAGTGTGCTGAACAAAAAAAGATCATGGAAAAAAATCCAATACAGAGAATAACGTACTTAATCGACGTTGGATCCGGTTTTATACTTTAGTAAGCATATTTCTTGTTTTGTCGAACTTCATAGAAAATAAAATAATTACAGAAAAAGGTTCAAGATTATACTCATCCTTTCAAATGTCAAAGAGTTCGTTTTTTTATTTTTTTACTGATTTACATATTATTAAGTGTCCTCTTTAACATAAGATAAGTTTTAGTCATAGAGAAAAAATATCTTATATCTATACCGTAGCGTTTTCCAAAAAGTTTCATTCAAATTTTCTCGAGATCTCAGATGCGAGTGAATAAAATAAGTCTAATTATTTGTATGTGTGAGTGGATCTAGATGTAATTGATTATCGTATATCTGATGGACATATGAAGAATTATGTACGACACTTCGGTCAGCATAGAACTAGAAGGTTAAAGTGCTGATTGAATGATCGAAACTCTTGTTTGAATGGATACATGCATCTACACATGTCCATCGAAAGTGCCGCGAGCAAGTACATCTAGTTCAAAGAAACTATCAACCACAAAAAATTTTGAATTACTTTTGGATCTATAATACAGAAAAATCAGATATATTGAGTACTAATAACAATCGTGTCGGAAACCTAAGAACAGTAAGTTACACTGTTTGGGGTTGATGTGGAGAACTTTCATCACAAAATATGTTCGCTGCGAACACATATCTAGACACTTCAACTTTGCTGGCGTTTTTCTCGAAACATATGTATTGCTGATGAGCTCAGGTTATGATTGTACGAGTCCATCGACATTTCATTTCATTTGAATATTGTGCTCTGACTTAAAGATGTTTTTAAAATTAAGATCCTTGGATTTTTAAGGGTCTTCTAGCGTTTTAACTCAACAATATTTTTCAAAATAACCTACGAGTGAAGATATTATTTTTTTAAACAGTTTTAGGTATCTGTGATAAAAAATTCACCACAATCTGATAGAATCTCGGTAAGATCATACGCCTGCAGACTGAATGTTATATTTTTGCTAAGGATCTTTAAAAAAAATCAAGAAAACTTTGCTTTCAATAAGGTGAGCTTTGGTTCTATAATCTTATCTAATGATGATAACAATTGGTGAAGAGTTTAACTTCATATCTATTGGATTGATAGTTCTTCTGAAAGGATGAGAGTAACCTTCAACTTTTCAAGTTCATAATACCACTATTTCTACTGTCTATTTTTTTGTTAATGGAAATTTCAAGCGATTAACGCGAACTAGTCCCTAGTATTTTAGTATGTCTAAACAGGTATGTTTTCGAAGATATTGTAATGAATGAAAGATATTCTTTTATTTACCTTATTGTATTCGAAAATCTTGAAAAAAATCTATTAAATTTGATGAATATTTTGAATACCTTTAGGGAGAAATCGTTGTTAGTGCAAAAAAGCGTGGGTAAGTGTGATTGCTACGTTATATGTTCTGGTCCTATCCTTATCCATTTACGTTGAGTATATTTCATTTGAGAATAAGTTAAATTATCAACGGTATGTGATTTGTCTCTCCTATCTTTACAGAAAAGAATAGCAGAAGACACACAAATCGAATTGTTTCATTCCAATGAATAAACAGTTGAACTAGAAGAAAACTATTATTAATAATGAAAAAAAAAAAGACAAATGAACGATAGTTATTTTCGATAAGCTTAACAAAAGCTTCATTAACAATTTTTTCATTGTTTATATAATTATTAATATTGAAATATTCTATATATCGTATAAATTTTTCTTCTCGGTGCCGTTTTGTTTTTCCAATTGTTTTGTCAATTCAACTATCATCTCTTCAATACTTATTTTAATAAAAAAATATAAACATCTATATTGAGTGTCACATATATACTTGACAAAAGCCAACAACTATAGAAAAATAAATTCACATGATATTTTATTTTGAAACTTATAAATTATCTTAAGTATTTTTAAAATAGATCTACGTAATGTAAAATAATAACAGAGTAAACAATTCATTAAAAAAATTTACATTTTTAAATTTTTTCTAATACTTGTATATTGTTATCAACAATATATTCATTTTTATTTTGTTTTTATTCAAGGTCGGTTGGATATATATATTTATATCTTTTTCACCCTTCTCGCTTGATACAACAGACTGTTGTAAATCAATTTTTGTGAAACAATGGATCTATATCTCTAGATTCACAGTTGTATAGAAAAACATGAAAATGATTAGTATAAAAAAAATTGCGATAGTAAATCTGTTTGTCGATCATTTATCGTTGTCTCCTTTATATTTATTATTAATTTAGATAATAATAATGGCAACTTGCTGTTTGTTTTCATCGCCGATTTCTGCTGTTTTATTTATCGTTAAGATTAGGTTGGTGATGATGATGACATTTATTGATTGCTTTATTAATAATGTCATACACACCTCCTTAGAATAGAGAGATCAATATATGAGAATCTCTCTATATCTTCTAGATGTATTGTGGTTTTTTTGTCTATTATGACTATATAGTCGATTTAATATGTATTGATGGTTATTTATTATATACAATGATGTCTGTATAATTTTTTGAATATTTTACCTCACCGTAATGAAAGCCATTTTTCGTTACATCACATTTATTTCTTCAGCCATTTATTATTTAACAACGGCGATAATTATCGATGAGCAACAATCTTCTTCTATCTTATTTAATAACCACAGATCAATCGATTCAACATCTTAATTATAGTAACGAAAACCGAATCACTGCAGTTCTTTTGTTAACAACAACAATAACAACAATTAACAATACGCATTCTTATCATTTTGCATCATCATCATCATTAAATACTCTTCAATCATTATCTACAATATCTTCATTAGAGTCAAACAATACGAATTCATCATTATTAATAACGTTAAATTTAAAAAATCATCCAGTTATTGGCGTTTTTTTAGCCCTCTTTTGTTTTATAACCGTCTTTGGTAACGGTCTCGTTATTTACGCCATTTCTCAAGAACGTTATCTCAAATCTGGTATGTAATTAGTTTTCACATGAAACATAAACGCTACTTGTTTTCACTGTTATATATTGTATTAATTTTAATTTCTGTTAAAATGCTAAAAAGACTAATTAAAAATTGCAGTCTAGATTAATCTAATTTCTGCTGAATATACTAGTAACAAGACGTTACTGTTTTTCTAGCAACCTATTATTATATGGCTTCATTGGCATGCGCTGATTTATTTGTTGGATTAATTGTTATGCCATTTTCTATTGTACAAGCTTTATATGGTGATCATTGGCCATTTGGTAAACTTTGTTGTGATTTATGGCATTCGTTTGATGTATTCGCTAGTACAGCGTCCATCTTGGATCTTTGTGTTATTGCCTTGGATAGATATTCTGGTAATTAAAATTTATTTTTGTCATACATGGTTTGTTCGTGTTTAAAGAAAGATTGTCAGTGATACTTTTCCGGAAAAGTATGGATCTTAAATTTTCAGCATATATACTAGACATGTATCAAACAATCTAAGTCTCTTGATGGTTATTTAGAAGGATGTCTTTTTTAAAAACTAGTGTTAGAAAATCATACAGCAGTTAATATTTCTTAGAAACAAAAGATAATATTTTATAACCATTTACGTAACTGCCACCTTTGACATAATTCGGATGTCACTATAAATTTGCTTAAAATCAAATTCTATTGCAACAGCACTTTCAAAAGATGATTGAAAGAGTACTGCAAATATTTAGAAAGCTAGAAAATATTCGCAAGACGTTCAGTATTAAATTGAATTTCTGGAATATTCCTAGAAATCTCACGAAGAACAAAATTTGAATAAAAGTCAATATTTTCTGGAAGTTTCAGTGATATAATTGGATTTTAAATATGAAATTTTATTTTCGCGCGTACATTGACTATTTTTTTATATCTGATTTAATAATTCCAGTTTGCATAACGAATGCGAATCTAGTTTTTAAGCATTCTTCTGGAAAATCAACTTCCAGCTGGAAAAGGCCACAGCATCGACCGATTGGTTGTACTTAATTGGAGCTAGATTAAATCTAGCTGTAGATAAATTCAATCTAGATAAATGTACTCTTAGTCTAAATCTAAGTCCTTACTTTATCATTTTTTTTCGTGATTGGGTTGTTCTAAGCATTTAAGCATGTATTATCTATCCTAATAACTTAAGCTCTTGTAAAAAGACAGTTATTTTTGTTTGTTGATATAGCTATAACAAATCCAATGTCCTATAATCAAACATTTTTCGTTAGACGTTGGCCACTTTTAGTTGCTGGTGTCTGGCTCTGTTCAGGTAGGATGATGGTTTAGTCCTTTTAAACCGAGCATACGCAATCAATATTATCCATGTTTTTGTAGGTTTAATATCATTTCCAGCTATTGCCTATTGGCGTTTTGTCGTTAATCAATATGAAATAAATCGTTGCTCGTTTCCAGACGATATTTATTACACTATATTCTCATCATTAATATCGTTTTATATTCCCTTATTCGTGATGATTTTTGTTTATATACGTATTTATCGTGCGGCCGTCAAACAACTAAAAGCATTTAAAACCGGTGTAAAAATGGCATCACCTAAAAAGAACCGTGAAGGTGTTGTTACTGTACCAGAAGTATGTTTAAGAATTCACAAGGGCAAATATCATGGTATTCCACGTGATTCATCATCAGTATTTAACAATGACCAACAAAGAATATCAAACAATTTACAAACTAACGATCGTTTATCGAACCCTATCAAAAAGACAGCTAGTGGTGTATCATTGTTGAAAGAACGACGTGATTCATCATTATCGCGACATTCAATGTCCATATTAACGGGTGAGCATAAAGATTCACCATCACATTTATCTGCAATAAATCCAACAACAAAACGGTTGTCAAATGTTGGAATAAATGAACATAGAAATTCAAAACCAGTCTCATCGTTCGGAAAAAGATTAACAAAATTTTCTAAAGAACAAAAGGCTACTATAACTCTTGCATATGTTATGGGTATATTTGTACTATGTTGGCTACCATTTTTTGTTTACAATCCTCTAACAGCCATCGTTAAACAAATTCGTAGTAGAAAACATCGTTCTCACATATCCACTCATAACTTTTTAACTGGAAATGAAATTGTCTTTCAAATATTTACATGGTTAGGTTACGTAAATTCCAGTGCAAATCCCATTATTTATGCTTTTTCGTCACGTGATTTTCGTCGAGCTTTTATCAAATATCTTTGTCGATGTTTTCCAACAAAAATAAGAACATTTTTCATGTCATATAATAATTTAACTATATTACGTAGTCGTCGTGTACCAAATTCTGTTCCGTCTGTCGTTGAACTGAATATAGACACAATATCTGACACAAATAATAGCTCGTCGAATACAAAACAAAATAATTTAAATAATATTCGAATGGTAAAAAATCGAAATGTTTTATTTAATGCATTTCACAGTTGTATACAAGCAAGACAATTAAAACAAGAACAACAAAAACTCCAAAGTACACCATCAATAACAACATCGACAAAAAGTACGATTAATAATCTTATACTTGTTGAATATTGCACATATCATGATATGAGCATAACAAAAATAACGTGCGTGTAAATTTTCTGTTTTTCGGATAAAAATATCGTATTTTGTAGAGATTATTTGATATTAAAATGTATTCTCATCTGCCCATCTCTTTCACAAAAATACGAATTATAAAGGATTTTAATTTACATTTTTATAATTCAAAAGGACATTTACAATACTCTTGCAACACTGATATTTTAAATTTGTTTTACAAGACAAAAATATTTGTCTAATCAAAAAAAGAAAAAAATATTCACTAAAAAGCAAACAAATCTTGTTTCTAACATAAAAAATGTCAAAAATATTTTTAAAGTTAATCTTTTCTCCTACACGAAAACGGATATTATATACGAGCACTAACACAAACGGAAACCATATTAGTTTTCCAAACTTCTTGAATAATGTCATTCATCTTCTTTTTGTTTTATAAAACACGTGATACATTCTGACCTTGATTTACGCATATAAAAATGTACAATTGTTTGAACACACATACAAATAATACAAGACAAATTATGATGTCTGATGCAGTTTTATTTTCCATTTGTTTAATATCAAGTTAAATTTGAATCATGCCGTAGTGCACGTTTCTAAAAGATAAAAAAATGATTCATAGCATGAAATTATAGTATAAGTCCATCTGACAAGAAGTATAATGAATTCTTCTAAACTAAAATCACAGATATTAACTTTTTTTTAGGAAATTGTTTCCATTGTTACTGAGATTTGACTGCACTCCTACTTACTCATGTTGGGTAATTTAAAAGGACACTTATTATGAATGTTAAAATGAATTTCAAAACAGCTTACTTGAAATATTCTTTCTAATTCTGATCTACATGTTGTTTCTGCTAATGTATTTGAACATGTTTGACTTGATAGAAATTTTTCATTAAAAGAATTTTTATTGGTTATTTTTGTTTTTTGTACTGTTGAGGCTAATTTAAATGTTTGAGATCGATGTTTAGACGATGTTGTTCGTTCGTATGAATTGTTTATTACACGGCAATCTGATGGGATATTCACTAATTGTTCTGCATCCACAATTCTATCAGATTTTGAACGTTTTGTCGGTAAATTGAATGTTAACGCAGAATTTAATTCGTTAATATCAAGTGTTATACTTTCTACTTGAGATATTTGTCTCATTTTTGTTGTTGAAGGAATACTTTTTGATGTTGATGTTTCAATATGATTTAAACTTAGAGAAGCGTCGTTTAATACTGTTTTCGATGAACTGTTAGTTTTAGACGGAAAATATGTACCATTAGTCACAGTTTGCGTTGATGATCGTTCAAGTTCTTCTTTTGCTTTAATGAATAATGGATTTGTCGTTATTTCTTGCAAAATTCGCGTATCAGATAGTTTACTTGATGTCGACATCGATGATGTGAATGTGCCATTTTCCGATGGCACACGGTCGTGGGGAAACGTCATCGACATTCGTTGTGAATAATTACTTTGTTGAGAATTTCGATTTATCTGTGATGGAACGGCTCTAAAACCACCAGCAGGCAAAGGTGGAGGGGGCGGTGGCAATATAAGATTACAATCATTTGATATATCACTTGTAGATGATACAGCACTATCACGTTCATTTGCTTCAACATAAATCGGTTGTGGTGTGTTTACTCGTCCATAAGAAGACTGATCATAACAAGCACTCGTTGTTGATACAGAACTGGAATGAGATTGTTTAAATCGTAATGAAAAATGTTCGTTTAATTGATTAATGACAGCTACTGATGGTCCACATTTTTCAGATGAATTATTTGTTCGATCATTTTGATGATCTAATGACATTGACACAAAATTTGTTCGCGAATGTATTGGGTGAACGATAGGACTGGGTATTACAAGTGATGTACGTTTCTTATATTCAGAGTAGACTTTTGAAGACTGTTGATCGTAGTCATAATCGTATTTACTACTCTTAAGGCAAGAATTCTCTTCTTCTTGTACGTTATCGTCTGATGTCTGTGATATCGGCCACAATGAAGTGGATACTGTTTCATTTTGGAGATTAAGTTGAGATACAGAGCCATACGACGAATAAGGCTTTGAAATGGACGGTGTTACTTTCCGTAGTGTTGTCCGTTCAAGAATCTCTTTCGATATACGAAAATAATTGTTGTTGTTGTTAGACATCATCCCGTCTAGTTGTGTACAAGAACTGGTTTTCGTAGTAGAGAACGATGAATGTTTTGACGTCGAGGTATATAAACGTGGTCGAGAATCTCCGTTTTCATTAGTAATCATTGGTTGTTTGTCTGCATGATTCAAACCATCTCCTGGGGAATTAGGAGCCATTTCAGATACTGAAACAATTATTGTAATTTAGTTGAAATTCTTTTTTAATCAGAGGCATCAGAACGAAAATTATCAGCAACTATCACTTACCACATGAACGTTTTTTCTCTTTAAATACCAATCTTGATGACATTATTGTATCAGCTGTTGTCCGACATCGAACATTACTATCCAATGTTGCTCGAATTAATGTTTCAGGGAAGGGTGGCGCAATCGGCGGTGTTGAATTTTGGCATTGTTCAACTGAAGTTAATGATGATTCAGGTGCTTTTTCTAATAAATCAGAATCTTTTCGCTGTGAAACTGTTTGAAGTGAATCGTGATCATAATCATTGTCAAGGAAAAATGTGGATGATTTGAGTAGTTGAGATGCAGTTGATGAATCCTCAAATGTTAATCTCTTTGATGAATGTGTTTGTTCAAACTCATCAATTTCTTTGACTGACATACATATTTGTTGTTTACATACATTACTTACATTGTCATTGGTTTCATAGTCAGGTAAAGGTTCCGCTTCTTGTTCACAGTTTACTGTTCGAACAATATTATTATTATCTGTTACATCGTAATCAGGTGATGGCTCAAGTGAACTTCTTTCTTTTGATACCTCAGTTAAACCATACAGATTTGTATTATGACTTATTCTTGGAATGATATGTTGTTCACCTTTCGTTGTTGTACCAGTGACATTAAATGATTTTGAACGATTCATTAGCACATAATTATTTGCTCGTAGATTATTATCTAAATCTCGTTGTTTTGACATATTTTGTGACGTATCAGCCTTTCCACTATGATAGTGAAAATTTCTCTCTAACGACAATGAATTTTTAATTGAGTACATCATTTCTTGACCAATGGCGAGTTCCATCCGTTTTCCTAGTGCTTCAGCATTAGCCGATAAACGCTTACAACTATACTGTCGAGCGATGATTTTATTATTATTGTCATAATCGAGTTCTTTTGTGTTTGTTGATCTAACAATATCGTTAATATTTTCATTTTTGATTGAAAATTGTTGTTGTTTTTCACATCCATCATTTTTCACCATCGATATTCGAGAACTAACATTGGATAATGGAATTTTTTTTAATTTATGATTTTTTCGATTAACTACAGGATGTTCCTCGCCGGCTGATATGACTACACATTTTTCACTTTCTTTTCGTGATAATTTCGCAGCAGTAAGAATATTTGGTTTATAACGTCTATGATTAGTACTTTTTGGCGAACATATTTCACTATATCGTTTTGAGATGTGGGCTGTTAAGTTCTTTCGTTCATTTTTCACTTTTGGATTCAATGATGATGGCACAGCATCATTATTTCTATACAAAAGATCCACTAGATAGTTTCAATCTGTTATATTAAAGACATCTCTATTGTCCATTTCAGTAAGCTACTAATCTACTATCAACTACTAACTATTTTTTCAATCTAGATCTCTAATCTTTCTCTCTCTCTCTCTGAATATCTCTAATTAAGCTTGTACCACAAAGTATATGAATTTAATTGTTAAGAGATTCGATGCATTTGTCACTAAACAGTTTTATCTTCATCAGTGATTACCTGAATGATGATGGTCCACAAAAATGAAAATTGTACGATGTTTTATTTTTTTGATGAAAACAGTTCAATGTGTCAACACTAATACATCGAGAAAAGAGCCACATTGATATTTTTAAATTATAATAGTCATCATTAAACAAGCTTAATTTAATAATTACAAATGGAATAATAATCATGTCTAAATAAATTTATTCATGTTGATATCGATTTCATTGTTCAATCTTCACTCTCTCTTTCTCTTTTATTATATGCATAAAATGGCGGTTTAAAACAAAAAATTGATTTTTATTATTTATACATACTATAAATACACATTCGTGTCAATTACTGGCACGCTTAGAAAATAAAAATCAACGATCAAGATCAGTGTGTTCAACAAAACGTGCTTGTTCACGTCTAAGGATCATCCGTTATTTGTAACTACTATCATAGTTTTGGTCTATATGTCCAAAAAAAAAAAGAAAAAAAAAGAAAAAAAGAAAAATATAAAAATAGTTTAAGAAACTATAAATCGCTAAAGCTGTTCCTATTCACGATGATGAAGAAGAGAAAGAACGAAAGTATTCAATGTTTCGTTATTTTATTGTACAAAAGCTCAATGTAAACAATCGGAAAGTATTATGACATAATTACGTCTTTACGTTCATACATAGGAAGTAATTTTGTCGCAGTATATATTATAACGAAAAAAGGTATATGTAAGACATAGAACGATTGAAAAATTTATTTTTATTTTAGAAGAACGAGTTAAGTATTAATGATTCATTCTTACCTGTACAAAACACAATAATTGTTTTCTGAACATAAATCTATTGATTTGTTAAATGACGAATTGTTGCTCAGTGGGGTATTTGGTATCATATCTAGTCAAAAAAATAATGAATCAATACGAAAGATTTTGTATATTCAATAAAGTATCATTACCAAAGTATGATCTGTATATTTCTGAAAAAGTGATGAAATAATTTAATCTACACTTACTATGTGAAAAGTTTTTTTTTAAATGGTTCCAAAATTATGAAAATACATTTTTTTCAAATATCTTTCTTTTCAATCGCCATTATATAATATTTAGAACTTACGTTTTTTCTTTTTTCTTTTTTTTGGGGCCAGGAGGATATGTGACCCCTGTAATAATAAGAAACAGAATTATTCAAATAAAACAAATGTGATGTTTAACTTCTTGCTTTAACCTTGCATTTTTCAACCTATGATAGGGTGGAGTTGCATTGTAATGTCAAATTATATATATTAAAACAATTTTTACGTAATAAAAAACAGATGAATAAATAGGATGAATATATTTTTTTGGTGTATATGAAATGGTCATCAATCTATGAGTATATTTTTATCTTGATTTATTGGCAAACTGTTGCCGCATTTTTTAGAAATTGAACACATTTTTCCATTTTCTGTTTACTGATGAATGTGTATGGATCACATATCGCTTTTCATTCAAATTGACAGAATAAAAATTAGAATAAAAGATATCTGATACATGTTGAAACTGATCAATTATTTATTGACCGTGTCAATGTAAAATTGTAACATAAACTTATAAATGATAGTTATAACAAGTTTTAACATTTAGTACTGCCTTTGTATATATACATTGAATGGTTGTTTACGAAACTACTATTTCTTAGTTAAAGATTCAAGAACGATTTTGATCAATATATATTTTAAGTAAGAATGAACAGATTATCAAATAATATTCTAGATTGACAGTGTGATCTCTAGGAATTATTTACTATTCATAATTTGATACTGTACTGTAGAAGAATAGCGTACCTAAAAAGATATTCTGAGAAAAGATAAATGAATCTAAAACTTCCAGTCTGACTTAATATTGCTGTTACATGAAACTTTAGTAATTTATTGTTTGTATGTTTAATTTTACTATAAACTATTTGATTTTACGTAACAAAAATCTTTTATAAATTAAAACTTCATCAAATTATTCGTTGTCAATAGTCATAAGAAAATTGATCATAGTCAACTTCGTGTTATTCACATTTGAGAATAATGTACATAAACCTTACCATAATGCCGTAGAAGTGCTATTTTGAAATATGATGTCAATAACAATCGAAGATATTGAAGAAAAACATATTAACACGTATGACAATAATACCATGTGGATTTGATTTGTTTTGCCATAGTCATGAAATATTACTTGTCTATTATCGATTTTGATATCTAACCGCAAGAGAAGAACTAGAAAATCCATATTTTAACAAAGAAAGAGCTCTTATTTCTCTCATTACGAAATATTAAACAGAAATTAACGTGAGATCTTAAAATGGCATTTCATTAAAGTTTAGAACTGAGACAAATCAAACAATATTTGAAAAAAACATAATTAGAGATTACAAAATCACTATAGTGTAAAAAATATGATTACAAAGAAAGCGAAAATATTTATTTGTACGGTATATGTTTTGTTTTTTTACGTAGTAAAGTACTAATTTGTTCATAAATTGTCAATATAATTCCCGTTGAAAGATATGCTTTTACTAAACTTGGTATACAACCCTTATATAAACCACGAATACCTTCATTAACTCCAATATCTCGAAAACAATGCCATACTCCATGATAAATACGCGTCTAAATAACAATTTATTTTATAAAAAATTATTTAACAATTAAAAATGCATATTTCTTTACTTACTTGACCAAATTTAGAACGTGCTTCTTCAAAACATTGTACTTCTAAACGTTTTTTAATAACATCAAATGGATAAACCGTTAATTTTGATATGAGACCAGAAAGTCCACCGTTAATTGAACTTTGTAGTGGTCCTAAAAATTAATGAGAATATTTGAATAAAAAATTATTTTATTTACCATATATTTTTACCTATTTCAGAGGATCGATTAAGATCAAGTAATAACCATCCATGATTAAGTGTTTCATAGAATCCAAATGTTAATGCTGAAATTGGTGCATACAATGCGATAGCCGGTATCAAACCACGGTAGAAACCTCGAATTCCTTCACGTATCCAAATAGTTTTAATAGCATGAAAATAACTTTTGTAAATCTATAATCGAATTAAGATAGAATTTGTACATTATTCTAATTTATTTTCATGTGATACATACTTTAGGCTCTCCTTGACCAATAAATCTTGTACGTAACACATCCATTGGTTGACAAGAACATACCGCTATTCCTGCAGCTATTGCACCACATGTGAAATGTATCAATACTTTTTTGGTAGATGATGAATTTTCTGGAAACAAATAGGTCATTTTCTTCGTAACTTTTTCAAATGTGTATATCTAAATTGATAAATTTATCCTGTAAAATTCATCAACATTATAACTGCTCTAAAAAAAATTTACTTGAGCAACATTGTAAGAAACGGATAATATTTGTGCTGCAACATGTCCTTTCCAAAATGCTCTGAAAGTTTCTTCTCGATGAATTAATTTGATTGCATGAAAAATTCCATGATATTTTGAGCCATTTTGTGGTCGTAATGGTTCAATTTGTAGCTAAATATGCGTGCGTGCAGCTGAAATAAGAATAGATTAATTTGGCTACAGGTATCCACCTCTCTGTGCTCAGGACAACCATTTTGTTGATTATGCGCATCAGTCGCTAATTTTGTCGACTCTCTCTCATTTGTAAATCTACACATTAGATACCTTATTTTAAATAGTTTAATTGTACAGAATTCTTAAAAGAGAGTCTACTACTCAACATCTTCTGTTTTGATCAAACTTTGACACAGTTATGCTAAAACTTTCAGCCTGAAACACTAACTCGTTCAAGAGTTGTATGTGTCGCAAGGGTTAAAATGAGATATTCCAAACTGCTTCCTAAGAAATAATGTACTTTTCTCCATAATGAAAATGCGACAAAATAGTTAAATCAGTTTGTTTTGTTTTGGACTTGTCTCTCAACATAGATGTGTCATTTCTTAGTTCGAAGAGGAACATATTTGTTTCACAAATTCATATACATCAGAAGATTCATGCAGGTTATATTGAAACGTTTCTTGGACATTCCAGTAACCTTGGCTTTTATAGCTCCTGCCAAGTTTTGTCATAAATCTACGAAAATTACTTTTATGCTAAATAATGATAAAGATGTTGAAAGAAGCCTCTACGACTATTTATTATTGTGGGTTGGGGAGGGGAGGCGAGGAGGGAGAGAACTTCAGTTAAAAATTGTGATTGTTTCAGGAGATTCATCCTTTCAAAAACTAATTGGTTTATTTATATCCTTTTTACTAGCAAGAAGTATAAAGAATCATTCCACTTCCTGTTTAATCGTCAAGATTGAAAAGCACTATTGTATGCAATAATTACATCACCATTCAGTCGTTCGTTAATAACAAACTACTCTATTATGGCTCGAAAGCTTTGTGATTTTATTTTGCCTTCTCAGTGAAATAAAATAAAAATGTCGTTTATGAACACAGTATGTTTACTTACTTGTAATCGAATTTTCAAGACATCAACTGGTTGCAAAACAAATCGTGCAACAAAACCAGAGATACTACTAGCAACTAAAATGTTAGTCGTTGATAACTCCTCCTGCTTTGGATCATAGCCAACCATCTAAAATAGCCATTGAACTAAAGTATATGTCTAAACGAGTCAAAAATCTTGATACATACAAATCAATTTGATACAGACTATTGACTTCTTATTAGAGTGATGAATGAGAATTAACGAAAGTACATATCTTGCTTACTATCAGTTCAACATGGTAATTAAGTTAAATAAGATAAACATATACATCTGCTAGATTTAATAGTTAAATAATTTACAACTAGTAAACTTTGTGTGTTCAAAAATATAAAAAAATGTACGTTTGAGAAAAACACATTTTTTAAAAAAAAGAAAACGAAAAACAAATTAGGAAAATGGCAAATCTCTACGACGTTTTATATCAAATGTTTTATCACTTATTTTAGATGCCTTTGAAAATTGGTTTCCGCTTTTCTTGAAATGCCCGTAAACCTTCTAGTCTATCTTCCGACGTTAAAATAGTATCATAACAACCCTCTTCAATCTCTAGACCAACTTGAAGATCAACCTGTAAACAAAAAGATCAGATTTAATGAATAAAAAAATTAAAGCTAAAATCAGTATACTTGTGATCCTTTGTTAATAGCTTGTTTTGCCATTCGAATTGCCAACGGTCCCTAATGAATATCAAAATCAATTTTAAATGTACAGGTATAATGTAGAAAGATAAAAGATATATTTTTAAATTGAAGTTGCATTCTACAATTCTTCTTGAATATTTACTTGTTGAGCGATTTCTTTTGCTAATTCTAGTGCTCGTTTATAAGCAGCATCCATTTGTTCATTTTGTTTAACTACTTCGTTTACTAATAGTTTCTCAAATGCGGCTGTTCCATCCAATATTCTACCTAAAAATAATTCGTTTATTAATAATATTTCAAATTTGAACAAATATGTAACATACCCGTGAAGATTAATTCTTTTGCTCTTGCATTTCCAATTAGACGTGGTAATCTCTGTGTGCCACCTGCTCCAGGCATAATTCCTAATCGTACTTCTGTCAATCCAAGTCTAGCTGACGTTGCTAGAATAACATCAAAAATACATGTTAAAAAGATAAAATAAGCGCCAAATGAAATATATTTACCTGCGATTCGAATATCGCAGGCAAGTGCCATTTCTAAACCTCCTCCGAGAGCTATACCTAAACATAAATAAAAACTATGTAAATTATTTCAATTGATTGACAATTATTATTCTTACCATCAATTGCCGCTATAGTTGGTATTGGTAAACCAAATATTTTTGAAAATGCTTCTTTAATACGTGAAACAAATGGACCAACTTCGTCTTGTGCCATTTCAAGACGTTCTTTAAGATCAGCGCCTGTAAATCAAATGCACTTGTTTCCTTGTTATTTGATTCGTTGGGATAAAAATACCTGCACAAAATGCTCCCGGTACCATACTTCGAAATAAAATACATCTTGCTGTATTATTTTGATGTACTTTATCCAACAATACTTCCAACTATCAATAAAAAGGATTGTATAAAAAGGACAAATTTTTATATACGAATGCTCTACCTGCCTGACTAAGCAATTCTTTTCCTAATGCATTTTTTCTTTCTGGGCGATTTAATGATATTTCAACAATATCTAAAAAGATTGGTGTTAACAAAAATAGATAAAATAAATCTGACAACTTACCTTCATGTCCATCAACAAGTGTAGTCAACAGAACTTCGGGTGCTGATGGACCACTTTCAACTGCTGTTGTTGTAACATCTGCTTTGCTGCTTTCACTTACATTTACTGTGCTGCTTGCATTTACATCTACTTTGCTGACTTTTGGAATCTCTTCGGCATAACCACGAAACAATAATGGTTTTAAATTAGTACGAGTGCGTAAAAGAGTATAAAATGATTTCATTATAAAATTGTGTTCTAAAATAATGCAGAGAAAAAACAACGTTGCTTCAATAATTTATATAGTAATAACTATAAAAATCAGAACAGCAAGAGCTTATTTATTTCCAATTCATTAAGCAACCATAGAGCGATACATACAAATGCATTTTAATAACAAAATATCATATGTACAACAGAAGAAAAATGATGAATTTTGATGTTTCTCATTATAATTGATTATATTTCTTTAATAAAAAATCTTATCATTAACTATTTTCTACTACAAAAAAGTGCTAAAATTGTTCCACACTTGTCATTTATATTAAACAAATATGGAAATATAAAATAAATATATTTCTGCAATTGACAGATACTCTTACATATTTTATTCTAAGGATTACACAGGTTATCTAACAATAATTCTGATTTTTATTCGTATTACACATATCAAACAATTTCACTCAACAGTAGGATAGATGGTTAGCATAACTAATAGTACTTTTTTTAAAAGAGTATGATGTATTTAACCTAATTTCAAATATAGATATTGGTGAATCATTTAGTCTAATAATCTACCAATAGGTACGAGATATTAACTAAGACACATTCGACATAACATTGACAATATCAAATCGAGCTGTGCCGAATTTACTATTGTTCTCCGTTAATATCTTATTTATCATCAGCAACTTTCATGATTCTGTAGAGCTTAAAGATAGACTATGTCCGAGAAATTTGATGATGTTGATTTTAGTTTTAATATTTAGCTCAAATGATTGAATAGAAGAAATAGCCTTATTTCTTCTATTCATTTGTTTCATCTCATTCTAATTATTTCATAAAGCTTAAATGACGAATTTCATTTTATGTTGTTTACATTTCATATCCAAATTGCTTCTAATATGAGCAAATTCATGTTTCGTTTCGAAATAAGTGTGCAGTTGTACATCTGACATGAGATCGTTTGACCAATAATTTGATAATTTTTTAATTGTATAAAATTTTAACCATTATAGCGTCGATTTTGTCGATATTTCTGCAATCGATAACGGATTGTTCATTGATACCTTTTGTTTTGTACTCTTCACTGTTTATCATTAATCTGAATCATAAAAATGAGAAAGGTATATCTAGAATAAAAGATAATTTAAGTTTTCTAACAGTATCGGTATATGAACGGACATTTCCACAAAAACGGCAACGTCAGACGACATCGTCTAACAGATAAAGAGCATAGTGAATTAACCAAAAACGAATGTTTTGTCGAATTTGATAGCGGTTCCACTTCGACGCGGTTCATATTATATAGCGTCAACTTAACTTCAACAGAGCAGGAGCCATTCACTTTTCTCTTCAATTTACGATGTTTCAGAGCTCTGGGAGTATTATGGTTCGAAAACTGTAAGAGAAACAAAATACAGAAACCCTGTGACGAAATCACACTTCGGTAGCAGAGTTATGTGACCAACGAGGGAACCTTTTCATTCAAGATGTAACCTTCTGATTCCAGTGATTTGTACATGGATCGATAGACCTCAGTGAGGCAGTAAATACCTAAAAGGATTTGTGTCCATGACTCTTGAAGACTCGGCTTTCTGGAAAACCAGTTTTTCAAGAACTCTAAAAAATAACCCAAATCGTTTTTTAATGAGGCATGATTGTAGCCCCCAAAATTGGGGCTAAAATGGGCTATCTCCGGCATGTCACCCCCTTTTTTTGCAAAGGTATATAATAAAAGAAACGCCCGCAAAGGTGTTTGTG